AAAGGAAAGATGAGGTAAGGGGACAATAATGTTTCCTGATATTGCTGGTTTGCAATCATTTTTAATCCTTGCAAAAGGAAAGATGAGGTAAGGGGGCAATAATGTTTCCTGGTATTACTGGTTTGCAATCATTCTTATCGAGCGACTGGAGTAAAAAACACGACAGTCATTAGCAGTTGGTTGGTATAACATATTTCCACCGCTATAGGTTATTCTGAGCCGACTACACGTGTTTATGATTAACGGCTTTCTCCCGATCAAGCTCATAATATATGTAGGAGGATCGCGATATTATGAGATGTCACCATCGATGACCAGCACTGGCCATCATCCATATTTTATTTAGACAAACTCGCCTGAAGGATTTTGTGTACACTGCGAAAATATAAGTGCGGCTATTAAGCTTCTTAATGTATCTGGCATTCAGGGAGCCGCTGACGGACATAAATTAACTGAATGTTATATTTTATTGATGGTTTTCAACCATTCCCAAGAGAATTAAATAACAAAAGACACGGCGGCCATGTTGGAGGATATAACAAAATAATTCATTGACAATCAATTCTTTTGTAAATTCCTCCAACTTGGCCGACGTGAAAACCATCAATTGCATTTAATAATATCCAAGCTGGATATAGAAAGAATAAGAGAAAAATATCAAATGCCCTTGGCAGGGATCGAACCCACGTATTCGGTATTTTAGTCCGATGTGTTAACCACTACACTACAAGGACCAACCAGGGTACTCGTGAGGATCCCAGAGCGATATTTTTTCTCTATAGTATATTAGTAATAAATTATGCGTTCGGTGTGTGTAATGAAATAGAATAAGAGAAAAATATCAAATCCCCTTGGCGGAAATCGAACCCAAGTCTTCCGTGTTCTAGTCCGATGCATTAACCACTACACTACAAAGACAAGCTGGATCTATATTACATAACATATGACAATAAAATGTGATATACCTGTGACTTTATTCAGGGGAAGTGCAAATTACACACTACAGTACTGTCATGATAGTTTGCAATTAAATTTGCACTAAACGACATTTGTAAAACCGGTAAAACACGATATTGAACATACTTACTTTGAATAGATTTCGGACTTCTTTTCCGATTTTCCTGTCTAGTTCTATGTCATCGTCTGCGGATTTCAAGGTTCTCAACAAGCTAGACAAATAATCACCCATATTAAGAAACTTGCTTCTATCTTCTACTTCATTTACGACAATTCAATGTAAAGGTTTTGGTGGCTGTGTTTTACAAGCAGAATTCGATTTCTAAGAAATTAAACACATGCTATTCTAGGAAATGTTATGGATGGCCTCATTCAGGAATTAATTACATAAACATGCGCAATAGTTGCCCCTAGTTCTTGGAACTACTGGTTGGCAGCGTGTAGCCTTTGTTGGTTGTTCCGTGTAGATTTGTTGTTTCTTTTTTTCCGTAGAAGTAAATTGTATTTTTAACCATAATAAGCAGCATTATGGATGAAACAACATTATACACTCCTGTAAAACCTCGACAGCCTCCATCGCCTAGTACTATAGTGTTTCTTGTTGTGTTACTGCTGTTGGTTATCCTCTGGCGTTACTGGCGTTACTTATATCCCTTTCTGGATTATGTTTTTACCAGACTTATACGAGCAACAAGACTACGAGGTTAGCATTACTGTAATATGATATTTAGGTTGCCAATCCTTACCTTAATATTTCAACTGGCGTAATTGTGGAAACAGAAGGTAAACATGGGCCTTTCTCTTGCTCCTCTTCAAGCGAAGATGCATGTTAATGTAACGATGACCACCACCATCAATGAAATTCAAACCGCCTTTTGGCGAACTCGTGGATACTAGTTGCACTTTCCAGAGATTGTCTTCCTAAAGTTTTTACATTACTGTTTATAAGGACTCCTCCGGCGACCAACCCGGTCCGTGTAACACTCCACAAAGAGCTTTTCAATTTAGTTGGCGTGAATTGGACATATGAAATTTGCCTGATTTTTGAATTTTCATTTTTTATGATCATGTCAAAATTC